GACTTGTTTGATTCTTTCCCCTGTGGCAGCAGTAGTCATCTCTGTAGACTTTCAAAAATGAAAATCTAGTTAACTAAAGGGAGATCCATGCAAACAGCTAGTCTTTTCATTGTTTTGTGATTCCAACTGATTTAATCAATTATAGTCATGGTGCCTGCCTGTAGCACATATCCAGTGGATTTAAAAGAAACTGCCCTAGCTAGTTTTCTCAATGGTTAGAGCATCAGCTCTCTGACTGAAGGGTCATGGGTTCAATTCTGGTTGCAGGCTCAACCCTGGTCCTGGTGGGGGGGGGGGGGGGAGCGAGCAAGAGGCAGCCAATCGATGTGTGTGTCTCTCTCTCATATTGATCTCTCTCTGTCTCTCCTTTCCACTCTCTCTGGAAAACTATGGAGAAAATATCCTTGGGTGAGGATTAACAAAAAAGTAAAAATAAAAAAAAATAAGAAAATAAACTGCCTCACGTTAAATAATCAACACATTTTCTGTTTATGTTTACTTTATTTTGAAAATGACTGATATTTTTTTTACTTTTTAGGTTTTCTATTTTAATATTTTTTTGGCTAAGTGCAGTTAAATACTGCATGATGTTTATTAAAAAAATGCATCAACATGTGTGTCCCGACTCAGAGCCAGGCAGCTGAAACATTAGCCTTAGTGTTTCCTTTGACTAGCACCCAGTGTATTACATATTCATTTTTCCTCTCTGGGCTCTGAGGCATTGAAATAGCTTTTACATTGCATCTGTTCCTGGTGTCGAGACCAGTGTTTAGTGGAGAAGCCCACTGAGCTGTTAGAACTTAGAATAGTTTGTGTGTTTGCCAAGTCTTGATAGACTTCTCTGTGTGGACCTTTAGGTGTGAAATAAGTTCTGAATATGTACTGGGAGGAAAGGTACCATCAGTTAATATAATTGCTGAGTTTTATCACTTTGCCAAGAAGGCAAAGTCTTTCTCTAATTGTTATACCATCCTCTTACATCATATTTCCTGAATTTATATTTAAGTCAGCCTTCTGTTCTATCTCTTAGCTATCTGTGTTTGCATATTGAAATCAAAAAAATGTTTGAGGTTTACTTTCTTAATAATACAAGTCCAAATTTACTGATATGAATTTTGAGTTTCACTAAAAAATGTACCTCTAAAGCACCTATACATTTTATACAGGTACTAGTTAATGGTATTTAACCAACGGCTGCTGTAAAATTTACTAAGCAATGAGAAGTCAGTGTGTCTTGTGATGGTTAGGGAAAATGGCAGATTTGGATGAGTTTAGAGCCTAAATATATAAACCCTTTCACAAAGGGATCAAAGCAATGCACCACTGTCTAAAATAACTTCAGTTCTAAGCACTGAAGCACTGGTATATATTTATTTTATAATGTATGTGTTCCATCCCATTCTCTCCAATCCTAGTTCATCTCCAACTAGGCACTTTTGTTCTCATTCCCATCAACTGCTGGCTTCTATTTGCTTCACAGAATCTGGAAAAACCCATGAGGACCTTCCCACTGCCTTGTCCATGGGTTACTTTCTCAGTCCTCCAGGAGAATTTCTTTGCAGCATTGACACTGACCACTATTTCTCCTCGAAATTCTTTTTTTTTCCTCTTATGACCTAGAACTCTTTGTCTCCTAGTTCTCTTCCTGCACTGCTGAGCATTCCTTTCTCATCACCTCTGATTTCCTCCTCTGCTTACTTCCTAAAAGTCCATTCTGGCCTGTGGGGTAGCACCCTTTCGTTCTTCTCTTCAATGTGTGCTCATCCACACTGGTTTTAATTCATGCTGCTTCCAGACCTACAGTTCCAACCTCAGTTTCTTTCTTCTTCCCTAGTTAATGGTAATAGTAACAGCTAACATTTATTGGATGCTTACTGTTCATGGGTATATTCTAAGCACTTATATGTATTTATTCAGTCAGTCCTGCAGCATTCCTTGAGTTAAGATTCTTTATTATTCTCTCTATTGTTGAAGAAACTGAAGCAGAGGTGTTAAGGAATGCGCCGAAGGTCCCCCACCTAGTAAGTGTGGCATGAGGGTCAGTGCCAGGCAGCCTAACCCCAGAAACATTGCTCTTAACCACTGTGTGCTCTGCCATTTGGGCCACATCCACTCAGGTCTTAATCCTTGTATCTCTGTGCGAAACCCTCAGCTCAATCCCTGTTGCTCATTTCCTTCACCTTGGTCTTCCTGTATCCAACTGTGCCACTTCTAGGTATCCTCCATTTCACCAACAGAGTTAGGTTTCTGATAGGTGAGTCTGCTCATGCTGCTTCTGTGACACTTCAGTGTCAGAAGGTACAGCCCAAACTTTTTTGCCTGGCACATACTGGCGTTTTTTTCTCTGATTCCTCCTTACTTGTCCACCCTTACCTCTTATCACTTCCTGCCTTGCTGAGCCATGTGGATGTCCTCAGGCATATGCTTTTTCCGCTTCTTAGAAATTTGTCCATGAATTCAGCTTAGATTTTCCCCCCTTCTATACATTAGACAATTTCAATCCTCTTCATTTTTCAAGACTCAGATGAAATATTAACCTCATCTCTGAAGCCTTCCCTTATTTACTCCATCATTCATTCAACAAATATTTACTGTGTTAGACTCCAGGGATACAGGAGATGAGCAACTGACATGGTCCCAACCATCAGGGCAGAGCATGGAAGACATAACTAAACACAGTACCATAATAAAGTGTTATCTTCTATGGAAGTAAGGAGGTTATGGAAGGCTTCCTGAAACAGGTAGTATTCAGGTTGAAACCTGAAAGGTGATTAGAACTAACCAGTTAAAACAGGAGGTAACAGAGAGTGGTGAAGGAATTCTAGGTTATGAGAGGGACCAATTAAGATTGGGAAGATAGACAGAAAAAAAATCTATAGGTAAGAAAATTCTGCAAAACATTTTAATGAGTGGGAGGCTTTTTATGCATTCCCCTAAACAATAGACAGGATAATCCTTAAAGTGATTATTATGTGTAGAAAATAATTTAATACATGATTATAGTAGCATCTTAGGCATCATGTTGGGGGTAAGAACTAGATTATTGACAAATGGAGCTTAGGAGTTTAGTTGCTGTGTATAGTATGTGTTATTCATTGCTTGTTTGGCTGTTCCTTGGAGCATATTCATGCCTATGGGACTGGAATTATGTAGCAAAATTGATATAGATGAAAAATTCCACCATTGGAGTGACTTTTCATTTTAGTCCTTATATTTCCAATTAAGAGTAGTAAATAATTTATTTCTGAAATTTTTCAAAAGATATGTTTGGAAATACTGAGATAAGGAAGTCAAGTTTCTGTATTTGATGACTAGAGATTAAATCCCAAATCCGTCCAACATCTCAGGCTTCCAGGTACTGGGCATAAAGCGTAAGAAGTGGGGGTCTGGTCCATGGCACCTAGAGCATGGTTAACTCAGGCAATCACCAGGAAGATAAGAAAAAGAACTAACTAGCAGGGGTGGGCAAACTTTTTGACTCGAGGGCCACAATGGGTTCTTAAACTGGACCGGAGGGTCGGAACAAAAGCATGCATGGAGTGTTTGGGTGAACTAATATAAATTCAAAGTAAACATCATTACATAAAAGGGTACGGTCTTTTTTTTCAATATTTTGATTCATTTCAAACGAGGGCTGTAGTTTGCCCACGGCTGAACTAGAGGCTAAGTCCACTGACGGTAAGAGCAGTACAAATAGTCTTGAATTTAGTTTGTATTCTTGAAGAAATACAAGTTTTAAATTATAAGTTCTTGATTTGGCCCTGTGAGAATCTGAGGTTTGACTGGACGTTTTGTTTTTCTTTAGACAATATAATGAGCCATCCTGTTCTCCATGCGAAATTATATTAGTTGGTGATTCCTTTGGCAATACAGATTTAATTAACATTTTTAAATTTCTTGCAAGGAATCATTCTTTCATTCATTTTTAGAAATTGTGTCCATTATTCACTCTGTCGCTGGTATATGATCATGCATATGTTTGAATAAATCAGATGTTGTGTTAATGCTGTGGCTTCTGTTAAAGGCTTTGTAGGAAAATACTTCTCTGTCTTTTATGCCTTTGCTCTGCTTCAGCTAAATTTCACTTGGTACTTGGCTGCTATTGGTGGGTATTCAGTGATGTGTATCCTTATTAAAGTTGCTTTTTTTCCTGAAACTTTACATCATTTTCCAAACCATCTTGTTGCAAATCGACAAGTCTGTGGCACTTAAGTTGTTTGCTTAAATTCTTGACTTTTATATTTCCTCAGGTACTTCCTCAAATTTTTAATAGTTTGATTTCTTTTTTTCCTTATCAAAGGAAAGTATCTTCTTGTAATATTGAATATTTCTAGGACTGGAGATCTAGTTACCTTTTATGATATTGTGGCAAAGAAAGGAGTATCCAGTGGGCAGATAATGATAATGTTAGAGCTTTTCACTCAATAATGAAAAATAAACTTATGTAGCCTACATTTTAACTGAATCTTGAGCAAAGTGCTTTATAATGTTTCCTGTATTCCCAGAGGCATGTGCTATTTACTAGCTTCTCCTTCTGTGTAGCTTGTATGATTAACTTACCAGTGTCAGTGGGACCAAAATAAATATTGATTTTTCAGTATAGGGGTATTGAAACAAATGCCATGCTTAAAGTGACAGTCCTCCAATAAACACTCATCAAGCATATACTCTGAGTAAAGCACTTTGCTAGGTGCTTCCAAGATTTGGAAATAAATCAGATGTGGCTCCTGCTATCAGGAATCTTTGAGGTTGTGAGGGAGATTATACCCTGATGAACAGGAACTTCCAAAGTACTCTGCAGGCCTAGGATGGGGGTGGTCACCTCAGACACTCAAGGGTCCTAATTTTGAAATTCATTCACTAGTTTAAAAAAATGTTTTAATAATTAGTATAATAAATACTAATTTATTTAAAGGCTGTCCCAAATGTTTATGCTGATTGTAATTTATTTGAACTTTTCTTATATATTAATGTAAATTCTTACATTATTTTCTTTCTAGTTTACTAGAAAATGGTCAGTTTGAAATTGTAACAGGTGGCTGGGTTATGCCTGATGAAGCTGCTGCACATTATTTTGCCATAATTGACCAACTAATTGAAGGACATCAGTGGCTGGAAAAGAATTTAGGTACGTATCGATGTCTTTCCCCTTCATTTGGACTACTTTGGTCAGTTAATGTGGGGGATTTTGAGATGAGGCTCCATTTTATTATTTTAAACTAGAGTCCTGGTGCACAAAAATGTGTGCACTTGGGGAGTGTGCCCTCTCACAGTCTGGGACCCCTTGGGGGATGACCACCTGCTGGCTTAGGCCCACTCCCTGGGGGATTGGGCCTAAGCTGGCCGTCAGACTTTCCTTTGGCAGCCCGGGAGCCCTTAGGGGATGTCCACTTGCCAGTGGGGAGCAGGCCTTAGCTGCAGTCAGACATCCTTAGCACTGCTGAGGAGGCGGGAGAGGCTTCCACCACCATCACTGTACTGACAGCCATCAACCTGGCTTGTGGCTGGGGCGAGCTCCCCCTGTGGGAGCACTCTGACCGCCAAGGGGCAGCTCCTGCATTGAGCATCTGCCCCCTGGTGGTCAGGGTGGGGCATAGTG